CCCGGTGTTTGTGAACCTGAGCTCCTTCCTTCCAACTTCCTTTCTTGTTCTGGGGTTTCATCTGCCTCAGTTTCCCCATTGGTCCCCCTCGGCCTCCCACCCCCATGTAAAGTCTTCGTCTCTTTTCCTCCGGCACCACGGCTTTCCTCTCCTATTCTTTCCCTCGCTGTAGAAGACGTGGAACAGTGACTGCTCTCTAGTAAGTGATTTGCTGCCTGTTGCATTTGTAGCTCAGAGCCTACTACGTCTCCTGATGGATGCGAAACAAGCAAGTGCTGAGAGGCAACGAAATGTCTCTGTGCCTCTCTGTTCCCATGGTGGAGCAGTGGTGCCGCCAGCAGCAAGGTTGGGGAGCCCTCTTCCCTCCGTGTGATGCTCACGAAGACGTGTGCGTTTGGCCACAGGGGATCTTGGCAAACATCCTGTCCACTTTCTCAATGCGGAGACGGAGGGGCTGAGCTCCGGTCAGCTTCCACAGCTGACCCCGAGTCAAGTGGCCAGGCCTGGAGCTCCCGGCCTCCGGGTCTGTCTCCCTCTTCTCCACTAAGAGAGCCTCTTCCTCTCCTCTGTGCCATTAGCTCCTCTGGGGAGGGAGCTTCTGACCGGCGCGGCAGCCGCTCGGAAGATGCCCGTGTACTCAGAGGGACGGCTGCGACTGAGGGTCACAGCCGTGACTTGCACTGCCTTAAACGGTGAGGAAACCTACTTCTCATCATGAGATACCTGAACCGGCTGCTTCAGAGGCCTGGTGATGTGACTGACGCCACTGGGGTCGCCCTTGGACGTGAGCAAGCGCCTCCTCTTCAGGATTCCGCCTCCCAGGAGAGACACTAATGGGCCAAGCCTGGGTCCCCCGCCTGTCCCCCAGCTGCCTGGCTGTTTGCTGGGGCTGCCGCCACCAGCACACAGAACGGTGGCCTTGACAGCAGCTGTGTCTCCTCTCTCGGCTCTGGGAGCTAAGGCGTGAGCCCCAGGTACAGGCACCCGCTCTCCATTCTGCCCTCCGAGGTGCTGTGGCTCGGGCCTCGGTGTGGCCCTTAACAAGATCTGAGAGAGCGGCCCTTGTCCCTGTCCCAAGGGTTTGAGCCCTGTCTCCCGAACAGGGCTTCCCTTCTACCTGCTCAGACCCATGGAGGACGGGTCCTCCCTTCCTCATTAAAGGCCAGGCAGCTTCCATTTGCTCTGTTGGAAGTTTGCTCTTAAAATCCTGAGTTCCCAAGTAAGAGGTCCAGGTGCCCCATGGAGATGCTACACGTAGGCTTCCCAGTGAGCCAGCCTTTGAACCGTCCTGGTCCAGAAACCAGACATGTTATGAAGAGTCTTCAAAAGGACTCCAGCCCCACCTGTGTGAATCTCCCTAGGGAAGGCCTCAGACATTGTGGGTCAGTGAGAGGCCACCCGTACTATGCTCGATCTGAATTGCTAATCCACAGAAACCAAAACTACACAAGCAAAGGGTTGTTGTTTTATGTCGCTAGCTTTCGGTTGCTTTGTTATGCGGCAATAGATAACTGGAATCCTGGTCCTGGGCTATAGCAAGGACAATCAGGCTGGTCTGCCTTTCTCACAGAGCCTCTCTTCGCTCCCTGTCTTAGATGATCCCATGAAAGTGCCACAGCCACCCTCCAAGGCTGTGGGCCCCTTTCTTGGTGAGGTCACTCAAGAAATGCACCACAAGGATTTGTCACACAAAGTAAATTCCTTGCAGTGAATAAGGAGACCGTGAGGAATCATTTCCAAAGCCCTGACTGCCTGAGTAGAGGAAATGAGTGTATTTAGGGGGAAACACACATGCGAGAGGGGCAGCTCCTGTCCTTACATGCAGGGTGGGCAAGTTCACGCAGGCGCACAGATGGCATGTGTGGCAATAAGGCTCGATCTGTTACCAGAGGGAAGCCATGGGGTTCTTGTCCTCATGCAAGAAAGAATTCAAGCATGAGAGAGCGGAGTGATAAGGCTTTACTGGGGACAGGGCGTCAAGAAGGGACCGAGAGAGAGGGCCCAGTCACTTGGACTGGGGAGGAGCGAGGTTACATGTTTGAGTGCAGAGAGTACACCTAACCAGGCCCGGCGGGCAGCTCAGCAGAGAGGCAGAGGGCTGAGCACACAGTCCAGTAGAGGCCGGTGAGGGGGGTGGTTTAAGGAGATGGGCCTTGTCTTCCACCTCTGCTCCTCTTGGAACAAAGGACTTTTTGGATGTAAATAGAAAAACGCCTAACTGAGTTTTCCCCCTGAAGTTATCAGACAGGAGGAAGATTGGCTGGCACCAACCCTGTCACAGGAAGGGCAGGGAGGGAGTTTGAAGTGCAGATACTGGGCTGCACCTGGAGGGTTATCAGGCAGAAGGGGCAGGGACCCCCACCTAGCAGGTTATCGGGTAGGAGGGGGCGGGACAGGATGCGAACACTGGGCTGCCCCTGAAACATTATTGGGATGACTTTGAGATGCATATGCTGGACATAGACATCTCTGTAGGCCTTTGTCACTCACACATAGGCTCATAGCTGACTTCCTACCTAACAGCATGAGCCAGGGCCACCTCAGGCCTTCTTCTGAGCCAGCGACACCAGACACCATGGGCCTTCCTCCGGGTGTTTCCTGGATCCAGGTGAGCTGCTCTGGAGGCGCTGCGGGGTGTGGGTGCACCCCCACTCCTGCTCAGGGCTGCTCTGGGCAGGCCGCTCAGAGCACAGCTGGTGCTGAGTCCTCGGGGACAAACACTGCCAGTGCTGAGGATTCGCCCAGCCACGAATCCAGAACCTCCGAGCTCAGCGGGGCCCCTGGCGTTGCTTGATAAGCCTTTTCCCGTGGTTGGGAACCTCGGTGACCCCTTCACATAGGAGCAGTCGCCCCTTTCCCATTCACCACAACGACCGCCCTGCATCTTCTCTAGGGCCCAGGTCCTTCCTGACCACATCCTTCACCCATTCTTTCTCCAGCAGTGCAGACCCCCCACCCCCAACCCCAGTCAGGGAGATCAGGGCTGTCAGATATAAGCTGCTCTACTTACTCAGTATCTCAGAATGGACTCGCGTGTGCATCTCACCCTGTCCCCCATGCCATCAGCTCCGAGGGAGAGGTAACTGGTTCAGAAGCAGCTCTCCACCCTGTTCTGTTCCAGTCTCTCCAGGAGTCACACTTACTTTGCCAGGGCTCTCTCCCTGGCAGGCATCCAGCTTCTCCCGTTTTGTGTCTTCTTCCCGGCACTGCAGGCTGCAGCTTTACCCACTACGCCACAGTGCCGGCCCACAAGTGTTGTTTTTAAGAATCATTTATTTTCAGTTATCTGAAAGGCAGAGCAACAGAGGGAGAGCCCAATCCACGGACGCACCCCTTGAAATGGCCACAACAGTGAGGTCTGGCCCAGGCCAAGGCCAGGAACCAGAAGCTCCATCTGGGTCTCCCACATGGGTGGCAGGGACCGTAGTACCTGGGCCATTTTCCTCGGCCTCCCTCAGACTCATTTGCAGGAGAGCTGGTTCAGAAGGGGCGGAGCTAGGACTCAGACCTGCACTGTGGGAAGTGGCAGCTTAACCAGTGCCGGGCCCCTTCAGAGTTCCAAGCATTTGCCACGTTGGGGTCCCCTACACTGTGTCTTCAGTCCCGCCGCCCTGTCGTCTGAGTTCCCGGGCCGCGTGTCTGACGCCTGCTTGGCACCTTCCCCTGAGGTCTCCACGACCAACCGAACTCAACCGCGCCCAAGGCTGAGGTCATTACCTCCTCCCCGAGTGTGCCCCCGTGAGCAGAGGGGCGGAGGGTGACTCAGAGGCTGTGCCGCTGTTTCTCTCTCCGCCTGGGTCACTTCCCCTTCCAATCTGAGGCATCCCCGGCACTGCATCTGGGGCCACAGGCAGAAGCTGAGTCTGAGCAGGAAATGAAGCCTCAGAGAAGGAAAACGAAAGGGGACGGCCGCCTCGCACCCCGCGTCACGGGGCTGAAACCACTTGCGGAACTGGGAAGAACTGAGAGAGCTGAGGGACGCCCCCGCCCGGCTCAGCGATCGCCCGCAGCCCCGGAGGGGCCTCTGCTGTTGCAGTTTCCCGAAGAAGCAGCTGAGGCACTTGAGCAAGGAGCCTGAGGCTTGCGTTACTGCTCTGGCCTTGCTCGCTCCTGGCCATGTTTGCGGCTGCTCTCGGCGGGGGGCCGTCCCGCATCTAAGGCAGGAAGATGGTGGCCACAAAGAAGGCGAACACGTCCCCGGCGTTGATCAGCTCCGGGCTCGGCATGTTGTGGAAAGGGGAGATCGATCACGTGCTGGGGCTACGCCGACTCTGAAGATCCTCACCGGAGGGAGAGCGAAGCCGGACATCCTCACCACCACTGCCACCACTGCCACCACCGCCACCACCGCCCCCGGGAACCGGAACCGCACCACGCTGGGCGGGCCTAAATGGGTGTGAGCGCTGCATCGGCTGTCCCTGTGATGGGGGAGGTGCTGCGGGGTTCACCTGGCTGTCACTGGCCCAGGGATTCTCCCACCCTTAGAAGCCCAACTCAACGCACCTGAGAAGTACGCCGTGCGCTTTCTTTTAAAACTGGTCAGAGCTCGTTTTTAAAGTTTCCACATACTGGCCCTGGTCTGGATTTTGCAAGATGTAAAGGAACCACTTGAGAAGCAGTAGGGTGGCCGCTGTCCAAGGCCCAGTGGGGGAGGGGTCGCTGCAAGAACAGTTGGGTGGCGTGGATGGATGGCGATGGGAAGGAGCATTAACTCCACGCAAGCACGAAACAGGACCAACCAACCCCGAGAAGCAGAGCTTCTGTGATTCCGGGTGGGAAGGGCATGAGTCGGAAGCAGCGGGCAGCTGCGCCTGTGCCAGTCCCTGCCTCCACTCCACGCCCAAGCATCAGGGCCACACCTGTCTGCTCCTCTCCTCCTAGACTTTTCCAAGACAATGACACCTGCCCAGACTCTCAGGAATTCCTGGGAGAGTAGCTCCACCAAGCACAATCACTGGATTGGGGTCTGGGGCCTGGACTGGGGAGGGTGGGGGAGGGTGGGTGCATCAGGGGATGAGAGAGGTCAACAAGCTTCCCACTGCCTGCACCGTTGCTGGTTGGCAGCCCTGGAGCCCTTGGCCACCAGGCCCAAAGACCAGTTGAGGCCCATGGGCCCCTGAGGGGTCTGAGCTAACCTGAGCCGCTGGGGCACAGCACAGCCCTGGGGCCACCGAGGCAAAGGTGAGAGCTGCTGCCCTCGCCTCCCCACCCTGCCCCACCTGTCTGTGCCCCTTTCAGCCTGGCACCAGCAGCTTTGCCCCCTTTGGTCCAGCGCTCGCTCTCTCTCGCTCTCTCTCTCTCTCTATCAAGGCCCAGCTTTCTTCAGTGTCACACAGAGCAGGTGGAATCCCCTGTGGATTACAGACCCTGGGAAAGGAATCTTTTGCAAGAGACACAGCCAGTGGGCTGAAGATTTAAACACCTCCTTCCTGCCTGCAGGCCGGCCCTGGCTGGGGTGGAGGTGGTTCTGGGCCAGGCAGGAGGGTGAGAAATTCTGAGAAAGGCCCACTGGGCCCCAGCCTGCATCTCAGCTCCAGGCTCTTGCTGCCCACTTCTTGGCACTGGGTGCCCCAAACCCAGCAGAGGGACACAAGCATCCTGATTGCACCTGCTCTGCCAGGTGCTGAGTTCCAGACGGTCAGCTGGACACCCGGGGCAGCAAGGGAGTGCATCCACCCCGGCTGCTCCCCCGGGCTCTTTCTTCCTGTTCCTGCCCTGAGAGAGGCTCGCTCCTCAGAATCTGGAGTCCAGAATCAGATGGGCTTCCTGGAAAAGGAACGTGGTGAGTGGCGGACTGGCGGGAGGGGAGGGGCTGTTTCCTTCCTCTTTTCTGGTCCGTGAGTCCCTGCTGTCAGTGTGACTGGCTCACTACAGTGCATCAGCATGGGGCAGCCGCTGCCCCCAGTGGCTCTGCTGCTTCTAGGTAAGTCTTGGTTGCCCCGACTGAGGGAGAAGCTCCAGCTGTCCTGGGTTCAGCATGGACTCCTTTCCATGCCGAGGTGGGACCACCAGCCAGGGACGGGACCTGTACCGTGTCTACCACCGCATTTAGCTTCCAGGACGAACCTGACCCCTGGGGGACGAGAGAGGAGGAGGCAGCCGGTTCTGACTGGGGCATAATCAGGGGGTGCAGGGTGAGTGTGAGGCCACTCACCTCCCTCAGGCCTCAGTTTCCCCTGCGGGCACTGAAGAGTGTGGCCAAGGGGGGCTGAGGGCTGGCCTTCCGGGGCCCCTCCGTGAGTTTTCGTTTCCAGCCTTCCCAGGGGCTGGGGTTGGGGTTGTGTCTGTGATTGATCAGGGATCCGTCTGTGTCCTGAATCTGGGAGTTTGCTCAGGGAGCGAGGAGTAGGCAGGGTGCGAGGGTCCTGGTGCAGGTCGGTGCCCAGGGGCAGGCAGCAGCACAAGTGTCCATGAGCGCTCTCTGGGCTCCCAGGGCAGGCGTGAGCGGGGGTCCCAGTTCAGTCCCCACCCGCCGCCCCCGATGGCCGCCGCTGCTCAGGGTCTCATGCGCTCTTCTCTCTTGCAGTCTCAGCTTCCTCGCGGGCTGGTGAGTTTGCGTCATGTCTGGGATTGATCAAGGGAGGCACGTGAGAGCTGGTGGCCACAGGTTGTTGGCAAATGACCATCGCATGGGCAATGGCTGAGGTGGGGCTGGCGGGGACGGTTCCCCCAACACGGTGGGCCTCGTCCCCGGGCTCGTCTGGCCAGTTTTCCTCAAGAGACAGGACAGCCCCAAAGTGGGGCTCCAGGCCAAGACGCTCACAGGCTGAGTCAGTGGCTCTGGCTGAGCTGCCCACGGTGGTTGTGCAACAGGCTCCTTGGGCTTCTCCCGGGGCAGGGCCAGCCGGGCCCCGCCAGCCCCGCGCCCTCACCCCATGTTCTCCCGCCTCTGCAGCAGATGTCCCCAAGGCGCTGGTGCTCCTGGACCCTCCGTGGGCCAGCGTGCTCAAGGATGACCATGTGACTCTCAAGTGCCAGGGGCTCCACCCTGCTGGGGACAACACCACACAGTGGCTGCACAACGGGAGCCTCCTCTCCAGCCAGGCCCCCGCCTACACCATCACAGCTGCCAGGGCTGAAGATGGGGGCGAGTACAGGTGCCAGACGGGCCTGTCCTCGCTCAGCGACCCGGTGCAGCTGCGTGTCCATCTCGGTGAGTCTGCGCAGGGAAGAGGGACTGCACTGCTGACAGGGGAGGTGAGCGGCCCTGAAACGCAGGGGAGTCAGGAGCTGATGGAACCAGAGCAAGACGAGGGCATTGCAGACAGAGCAGCCATTCTAGCCGTCCACAAGCCTTCCGCAGATGTCCACAGACAGGTCTGGGGCCTTCACCCCTGCAGGAGTCCCATCCACACAGGGCAAGGTGCCACCGGAAGTCAAGGCACGGCACTGACGCTGGCTCCGACACACAGATCCCTAAGCCACCTCCCAAACCACCCCGAATCCTCCGGTGATGTCTCGCCCCTCCCTGCCCATCATGCCACACTCAGACGTGCCCTGCAGATAAAGCTGGCCATTCTCCCCGCTCTCAGTGCACGGCTACCGTTAAGCATGGAGTGGGAGTCTGTGTGCTCCTAGCAGCATCCAGGCATCAGGTGCGTGGAGGGGAAATATTTGGAGGCAGGGTCTTCCCTGGTGTCAGCTTGCAAGCCTGGCTCCCCTTCCATGGCTGCCTCATTTGTGCAACATGTGTGAGTGGAGCAAGCCCGGAGGGAAGGCAGGTGCAGTAGACAGAGGCAGATTTGTAGCCGAGGTTCCGTGAACTGGGCTCATGCAGCTGGGGTGTGTGGCTCCTTTGTCTCTGACCGCCCAGCAGACACGGCCCTCACTCCCCAGAGCTCCAGGAAGGAAGTCAGTGGCCACCTAAGTCCAAATAAAATGGGAAATTGTCAAGAGGCAGCAATGGAGAAATCAAGCCTAGGATTCCTTGGCCTTGAACTCGCTCTAGATCCTGGCTATAGACGTCAGCCCACAGGCTGCAGTAGCCTTGGCCGTGAGCATGACGGTCACCAGGCGACCTCCTGGTCACCCCGGAGGACTCAGTTCTTGGTGTCTCCCTCTGAGAAGCTTTCTGCGCTGGCTCAGATGCAGTGGCTTTGCTGCACTCTCGCGGGGCTGCAGCCGCTGTCCTCGGCCTGCTGTCACTTACCACAGTGCACTCTGATGACTTCTGAGAAGTGAGTTTCTCTGCAAGACTGTGGATTCCATGAGGGTGGGGACCACGTGTCTCAGTCATGTGGGCCACCCAGTGTGCACACTGCCTGCACGTTGTGAGTGCTCAATAGAAAGTCGCTGGCCGAGTGTACGCGTGGACATTCACTGAGTCCATGATCAGACTGACCGGAACAGGTGTGGCCCCCAAAGACCACCCGACTACCCTTCAGCCATAGCCTAGCCTCTCTCCTCTGGAAATGTCAGAGATATATACAGCCGTGGCCTTTCTTGGTAATGCTGTATCTTTTTAAATAAAATATTTATTTGAAAGGAAGAGTGACAGAGAGAGACAGACAAAGACAGATGCAGGCATAGAGAGAGACATAGAGAGTTAGACCCGTTGGTTCATTCCCCAAATGCCTGCAGCAACTTGGTCTAGGCCTTACGCAAGCAAGGATCCAGAGATGGGCCTCCCACCTGTTTGGGCCATCATCTTCTGCCTCCCAGGGCAGGCATGAGCAGGAACTGCATCTGCAGTAGATTCAGCAGTCGCTTCTGGGCCCTCTGATACAGGCCGCACGTGTCCCAAATGGCAGCTTAGCCCATTATGCCACAATGCCTGCAAAAAATGCTGTATTTAGTAAGTAATACAGATTACCTTCTGTTCAGTAAATCTTCCTGCTAGAGAGTCTTCATCAAAACATTTCTACCAGTTTGGTTTAGCGTGAGGCAGAAGGCTTTCTAAATTATAGTAAATTTTAGTTTGTCCTTATTATAAAAGTCATTTGGGTTCAACATAAAAATATATATGAAAATAGGGGCCTGCAGTGGCAGCATCCCATATTGGTGCTGGTTCAAGTGTCAGCTGCTCAGCTTCCAACCCAGCTGTGCTAATGTGCCTGAGAAAGCAGCAGAGTACGGTCCAACTACTTGAGGCCCTGCCACCCACAGGGGAGGCCTGGATAGAGTTCCAGGCTCCTGGCTTCAACCTGACCCAGCCCTGACTGTAGTGGTCACTTGGGGAGTGAACAAACAGGATGCAGATTTCTCTCTCTGTTGCTCTCTGTCTCTATGTAACTCTGCCTTTCAAAAAAGTAAACTTTATTATATATATAAACAAATCTTTATATCATATAAATCTTTATTACATATATATGTGTGTGTATATATATATGAAAATGCATTTGCTCCCATTCCCTAAGATGATATATAAATGCAAAACTTTCCTTTTTGGTTTTGTTTTTTAAAAGATTATCTTGGGGCCCACATTGTGGCATAGGTTAAATCTCTGCTTGTGACTCCACCATCCTATATGGGCGCTATATCGGTTTTTCTTTTGGGGAGTGATTAAAAATATCTATTTGAAAGGCAGAGGTACAGAGAGGGAGCTCTCCCATCTACCAGTTCGCCCCTCAAATGGCCTCAACAGGTGAAACCAGCAGTCAGGATCTTCTTCCAGTCTCCCAAGTTACTGCAGGGGCCCAAGGACTTCTGCTGCTTTCCCGGGTGCATGAGCAGGGAGCAGGATTGGAGGTGGAGCAGCTGGGACTTGAACTGGCACCCATATGAGAGACTGTACAGGTGGTGACCTAATCTGTTAGGCCACAGTGCTGGCCTCCTTTATGAATATTCTTTATATTCTACCATTTTCACTGAACATTGTCTTGGGAATGCGTTCTCGTGTCACTGTGTTCAGGTGCCACATCATCTTACATTTCCGGGCCCCTCTTGACCATGACTTCAGGTTCTGAGTCCGACTACTTGGACGGTGGGGGAACAGCTGTCCTGGGGACGTAAGGATTCTCTCCTCTGAAGGCTGTGCTCAGAGATAAGAGGCCCTCGCTGGGGCCTGGATGCTTCAGACACCGCGATTATCGCGGGCACCCCAGCCCCGCCCCCCCATGGTAATACAGCACCTCCTCCTCGGTCCTGCAGCCGCCACCCAGCCACCTTACCCCTGCCTGCTCAGCAGTCTTTCAATAGCTCTACAACTGCCTCTTCCTTCTAAAACCCACCTCTTCTCTAAGGGGCAAATCAGCACTTGCAAGGGCAGCGTTCACTGTCTGATCCAGGACCTGCTGTAGTTCCCGGTCCCTGCCATTGCGGGTCCGGGTCCAGCGCGTAGGCAGCCTGCAGAGGGAGACCCCGGCCTCGCTTCTCAGCCACCTCAGCGCTCAGCCCTCTGCGCTCTCCTCACATTCTGACCACGTGGCTGTGTGTCCTCTTCCCCGTTAGATGGAAGGCCTTGGTGGGATGTGCGCGCTGGGGCCCGGCCAGCTTTTCCCCAAAGGGAGCCAGCTGAGCGTGGCCCTGGGGTCCGGCGGTCCGTGTCCCCTTCACAGGAGCTCGCCGTGGAGAGCTGAGGCAAGCGGGTGTCTGTGGTTTCAGGCTGGCTGGTGCTTCAGGCCCCGCGGTGGGTGTTCCAGGAAGGGGAGCCCATTCAGCTGAGGTGCCACAGCTGGAAGAACAATAAGCTGCACAAGGTCACCTATCTCCAGAATGGCAGAGGCCTGAGGTATTTCCATCAAAATTCCGACCTCCACATTCCAGAAGCCACGCGCAACCACAGTGGCTCCTACTTCTGCAGGGGCCTCATCAGGCACCACAACGTGTCCTCGGAGACTGTGACCATCACTGTTCAAGGTGAGGACCGCTCAGCCCTAGCGAGCCGGGGCCCGTGTGTGGAGCCGGCACTGCCCTCCCCCACCCCCGGGAAGGCAGACTTCTCAGTGTGGGTTCCTCCTGAGACCCTGAGACCGCCAGGGAGGCCGAAGTGCCTGAGGGCGGGGAGGCTTGGCCACTGTGCGTCAGCCTGTTCCTCTCGCATCGCTTAGACGTGTCATCGACTGCAGTGGGACAGAGGAGCAGAAGCCACAGCTCCTCCCCTATAAGCACACATGTTCTTGCCACAAGCCATGCTGGGTCCCTATCCTGCTGGCCCATCCCTCCGTGCCCTCCTCAAGGCCCAGCCAAGATGCACCCTGGCAGGAGCCCCTCATCCCCTCGCAGACAGAGTCTGGCTCCACCCTGCCCCTGACTCACCATGGGCCCGAGGGTGGGCCCCCTCATCTGCCTGAGCCTTCTGGGCCTCTCCTGGAGCGGGGCAAGTCGGCCTGCGCTGGGCACCTTTCGCTCGGCACAGTGATGCCAGCTGCACCTCGTGACCAGCACGGCGGGCCTGTGCGACGTCGTGGGGTTGCTAATGCTGACTCCACTTACAGGGATGCAACAGAGACGCAGTCAATAAACCAATAATAAAGAAAGAAAGGTGTCTCTAAGGCCATACCAAGAGCTCCAGTGCCTGTGTGTTTAGCCACCAGGAAATACGTAGGAATTGGACAGGCTCCAGAAGCCTACGACAGAGTCCCTCGGGAGACACATCCCATTTTACAGATGACACAATTATTTGACAACTTCCCAACTGTCACACAAAAGCCAGCTCCAGCCTGACATGCTGAACACTCCTGTCACCTCCCCACCTGGCAAGCAGAGCTGTGGCCCAGGGTTTGGTGACTGTGCCCACTCGGGGAGCACTAAGCAGGAGTCAGTAGGAGGAAGCACAGACTTCCCCCAGACATCCCCCCCCCACTCCCTAGGGCCTGTCTCTTGGCAGGTGTGAGGAAGACCCCCCACTCTCTAGGGCCTGTCTCTTGGCAGGTGTGAGGAAGACCCCCCACTCCCTAGAGCCTGTCTCTTGGCAGGTGTGAGGAAGATCCCCCCACTCCCTAGAGCCTGTCTCTTGGCAGGTGTAAGGAAGACCCCCCCACTCCCTAGAGCCTGTCTCTTGGCAGGTGTAAGGAAGACCCCCCACTCCCTAGGGCCTGTCTATTGGCAGGTGTAAGGATGATGGCCCCTGGTGACCTCCCTGATGACTCCACATGTCTGCCTGAACGACTGTCATTGTTCTCATCTCTCTGTACCTCCTCCCAGGTCCAGCAAATCCAGTCGTCTCGTCCTCCGTTCTCCCCTGGCACCAGATCGCCTTCTGCCTGGTGATGGGACTCCTGCTTGCAGCAGACACGGGGCTGTACTTCTCCGTGCAGAGAGACCTCCGGAGCTCACAGAGGGCCAGGAAAGAGCACACACTGGGGTGGAGCCTGGGCTCTCAGGACAAGTGACCCCTGACCCTGGGGGAAATGAAAGGGCGGTGGCAGCATCAGAGCTCCGAATGTCCCCCTGAGTTTGCCATGCCCTCATCCCCACCCGGCATCTCTGCCGGCAGGAAGAAGCCCGCAGGGCCCTCCCCAGTGGAAGGAAGAGGCCTGTGATCTCCAAGTGCCAACAGTGATGCCCGGGGGACCCAAATCTCAGAGATTCACAAATCCTCTGTCCAGCCCAACCACTCCCTTGCAGCAAATCAGCTCTGGATGGTGACCCTTTAAATGTGCAGAAGTCGGTGCTGGCCCTGTGGCTCAGTAGGTTAAACCATTGCACACAGTCATCCTGTATGGCCACATGTTCTAGTCCCAGCTGCTCCTCTTCTGACCCAGCTCTCTGCTATGGCCTGGGAATGCAGTGGAAGATGGATGAAATGCTGGGCCCCTGCACCTGTGTGGGAGTCCCAGCTCCTGGCTCCTGGCTCTGGATCAGCTCAGCTCTGGCCATTATGGCCATTTGGGGAGTGAGCCAGTGGATGGAAGACCTTTTTCTCTCATTGTCTGTAACTCTACCTCTCACATAAATAATAAATAAAATCTTTTAAAAAATGCATAGACGTTGCTCCTACAAACATGGGTAAGTAAATCAGTGAAGGAATGGTTGCAGTGGAGCCCAAAGCACAGCTGTTGCTGGTTGCCGGTCAGAGACCCCCAGACTCCCTGCAGACAGAGCGTGGGAGCAGCAGGGGACCTCGGCCAGGCAGCAGAAGGCTGAGAAGGAGCAGGGTGGTCCCAGGCAGGCAGACTTCTCTGAGGAGAACAGGGGCCTGGGTGGGGACAGGGGACTGGGGGTGAGGTGGGGGATGGAGAAGAGCACAGCAGCTCGCTGCCGCGCGTTGACCTAAGTGGACAGAGACTTCTCGGTGTCTGGACCGAGAAAGCAGGGCCCGGGAGAGGCACCCAGGAGTGCCGGGGAGGAGCAGGCTCGGGCTGAAGACACTTTTGGGGGGAGATTAGAGCGAGGACAGGCAAGGACAACGAAACCAGCTTTCCTGCTTCGGTGTGGAAGTCAGGTGCAGCTTGGTTCATGGCACTGATGGCACCAAGGTTCGACCACCAATAGCAAAGGTACTGAGCTCCCCGGAGTTAAGAGATAGCACCGTGTCCCTCGGCAGCCAGCTCCCAGGGGGGTGGCGGCTGGGGTGGAGAGGCCGTCGTTGCCCACGGAAGAGAGCTTGAGCTCAGCCCCGCTGTTTCCGAAGTCGCAAACAGAGCACTGGGTGATTCCATGAAGCTCTTTGCAGGGTCTTGCCTGCTGCTCTCACCGAGACGGAAAAAGCCGGGGGAACAAAGCACGAGCAGTCCTCTCTCGCTTTCAGTTCTTGATCAAAATGCCATCAGAGCTTGGCTAGGGTTGATGAGAAGCCCTCTTCCCGCAGCAGCCATTGCCCCACGGGGGGCGTGGATCCGCCAGCGCCCTTTCCACAGCTGCCCAGGGGTGCTGCGGGGGGTGTAGCCGGCGGCGCGGGTGGGCATCCGAGGGGCTCGGAGCACTGGGGCGGGAGGGGGAAGCCGCGGCCAGGCAGGAGGTGGAGGCCTGAGCCCAGGCAGAGCCACAGCCTGACTGCCTGCGTGGTGCGCTATAAAGCGAAGCGATTCGGGGCGATCTGCGACTATTCGGTGAGATTGAGGGCCACACAGGGGCGTTCGGAAACCACGGGCACTCAGCTCACACGTGTTAGTCTAAGCGCTGAAGATACCAGATGGGCGCAGGCGCCATTCCGTGCAGCAGCTTAACTTCTAGCGGGAAAGACAGGGCCACAGAGGGGGCGCAGGGCAGCGGCTGGAGCTTCGGTCTGGTGGCGAAGGATGCAGAGCAGTTGGCTAGGCCAAAAAGTGGAGAAAGGCCAAGGGTCCCTGGGCCAGGATTTAAAGCCCGAGCCCGGGCAGAAACCAGCGGTTTGGTTCTGTAGGGATCGCAGGGCCAGGGAGGGACAGGAGACAGTCCTGGGGCCCATCAAGAGGGCCTCGCGAGGAAATCGTGTGGGGCCCCGCGAGCCGCGGAGGGAGCTTGAAGACCTGAGGTTTGTCTCCCAGGCCTCTCTGGCCGCAGCTAGGAGGGCGGACGCGGAGGAGAGCTGGAGCCAGGGAGGCAGGGAGGCGGGCGCAGCAAGTGCGGCGGCCCCGGGGGAAGCGAGGGTGGGGACGAAGGAGCGCGGTCCCCCGACATCCAGGCGCCGACTCCGGGGGGTGCAGGCAGCGGGGCGCCGCGGGGTAATGCCGGGCTCGCCAACTCGTGCTCAGGTGAGAGCTGCAGGGCAAAGGCGGGCCAGAGCTTTTCAACTTCCTGGTAGCGGCGCCGCCCTCCCTTCCTGCCTTCATGGTCCTGCAGCCGGCTGGAGCCGGCTGGAAGGCGCACTGATGCGAATCAAAACAGTAATTGGGAACGTGAGGGCCGGCCGAGGTCCCGGCAAGCGCACGGGCAGAGGTCAGAAGTCACAAGTCACAGAGCGCCCCCCCCCTCCCGGCGCAGAGCTCATAAAAGAGGTGAGCTGCGTCCCTGGGTGGGCTCGAACCACCAACCTTTCGGTTAACAGCCGAACGCGCTAACCGATTGCGCCACAGAGACAAGCAAGCGCATGCCTTACCGCCCAGCCAGTTCACTGAAGTCGAAATTTCTAGCGCTTTCTTTGTGTGCCAAACTGGGACCTTGAGAGTGACGTGGACCCAGCGGGGCCACCACCTTCTTGCCCGGGGCGCGGCTGCTAACCCGAGTGACTCAGGGCTTTCGTCGGCGTCACCGTCCGCTTAGCTCTGCGCCGGCAGCCGGCTTCTACCCAGGAGAGGCCGAGGAAGGGGGAGCAGCAGACGACGAACAAACGAAGCAACTCCGGGAATCCGAAACTGACGGGCTCCGGGGTCCAGGCGCTCAGCTGCTTTCGCAGTTTGAAGATGAACGCCACCAAGCCTTTTGGCTGATCTACATGATTTTTGTGTTCGTGCGTGTATAATTAGCTTATTTGGGGGAAAATTAAAGATGTCATATCGTGGGTCCAATCTTGTCTGACAAAAATGTGTCTAGGTAAAGTAACTTCGTGTCGCACAATTAAAGGACAGCGCAGCTGTGGGGTCTTAGCCTCTTGGACAGAACGCAAATACCTATAACTTAAGGACCCTGGTAGTCACATATCCAGGTCCCAGTGTCTGACGGCAGAGAACCCTCCCCCTCTTGTTCCTCCCTGCTCAACTAAGGGATCTTCCTCAGAGCTGGGCCCAACAGCCACTCTCCACATTGCCCAAGTCCCAGGGCCCACGCACAGCCTCCTTCCTCTCTGTCTCCACCCCCTGCGCAGTGGGCTCCAGCGCAGGTGTGGGTCAAAGTTTGCAGTGATCCTCAGGGAAGTGAGGATGCATCAGACATAGATATGCAGGTGCAGCGATTATACTCACTATACTTGTGTGTGTATATCCCATGAGGGGGACTCAACGTGTTACAGAAAAAAATGGAAATAATAGCCAATTTTCCATGAATTTCTCGATACATCCTTCTATCCTTCTATATATTATGGGGTTTTCTTCCTACTTACAATTTTGGTTTCTTTTCTAGTATTATAATTGAGATAGATTATAGTTGTGGATGTGGCTTCTTTCTTTTTTTAAAAAAAATTAATTGTGCAGTTTGGCCAAATAACATTGGCAACACTATATTGGTAACGAACATATGGTGAACAGTTCGCTCAGTTATGAAGTACAGGTTGAGGAAATACTACTTGATATTCAGCACGTTTGTTGGATTAGCAGCAGAAGTCAAAAGTTAATACTTGCCAGGTAATTCTAAATACACAAACATTTCCCATGTTCCACGTCCCGTGTTTACAATAGTGATTTAAAAGATAATAAAAAACTATAGAGAGAGAACAGAAGAACTTAGAAAGAATTTAAAATTTGAGGCCAATAGAAAGTACAAAATTGGGGGGGGTGCAGCACTGTGGCATGGTAGGATAAGCATCTGCCTGCGGCACTGGTGCCAGGAAGACAGTGGAGGATGGACCAAGTCCTTGGGCCCTGCACCTGCATGAGACCTGGAAGAAGCTCCTGGCTCCTGGCTTCAGATCAGCCCAGCTTTGGCTGTTGTGGCTATTTGGGGAGTGAAGCAGCAGATGGAAGACCTCTCCCTCCCTCTGTCTCTCTCCCTCTTTCTGTCTATAACTCTGCCTCTCAAGTAAATATATAAACCTTTAAAAAAGTACAAAATGGAGAAGTAAAATAAATCTGTACATATAATCAACAGTAATAACCATAAATGTACAAAACTTGCAAGTTAAAACACACGGTTGTCTATAAAATTAATTTTGCTCATTTACAAAAGTGATGTGAAGCACGAATAGTGAGTGGGAAGGGGTGAAAAAGGATTCACCAGGAATACTCTTAACAACAAGAATTGTGACATAGCTATACAACATCAGACAAAATTAACGCTAAGAAACAATGCTTCGCTAAGGATGAAGATGATCACAAAGTAACACTGAAAATAAAAAAAGATAACAAAACCACAATAGTTGTAAAAATTTATGTAGCTATTAAAATAGAAACAATATAGCAAGGTTAAGGAACGTCACAGAAGCAGTAGCAGGTGAGACAGAGAAAAGCCATGAGCAAGGCGGCGTCCAGGAGGGTGGTTGAGTCAGGAACGCATCACACGGAGAGGTATTGGGCTCCACAGGAAATTGGTCCAGGCAAGGGCAAGGATCAGAGGAGGCTCAGTTTTGGGAGGAAAAAAATTTTAGGCCTGTAAATATTTTAACTAGGGGACAACAGAGACGGGGTCCTTGCTAAAATGTTTTAGGCAGGAAAGAAGAGCAAGATTTGCATTTAAGAAAGATCATTCTTAAGAGATTTGCCAGAGAGAAGGTATCCTGCAAAGATATATTTTACGTTTCTAGAGGCTCCAATTTAGCAGATCCTTTTTAAGCATCTTATGGCTAGACAGGACAACAGAGGGAGAAAAATATATTTTTTACTGTATGTCATTCTATCCAAGTAGAAAATGCAGGCGGGACGCAGAGGGGGTCGAGGGGACCCGAGGGTGGCCGCCGCCGTCCTCGTTAGTATAGTGGTGAGTATCCCCGCCTGTCACGCGGGAGACCGGGGTTCGATTCCCCGACGGGGAGGCAAGCCGCCCTTTTTGGCCAGGCCCCGCACGCCGGCCCCCGCACGCGGAGCACCAGGGACCGTGTGGCCTGCGGGCCCCGGACACGCACCCGTGTTGGGCGCACAGGGCGCGGCGCGCGCGAGGAGTTTTCGCTCGCTCACGGTCGGTCGGTCGGTCGCGACCGACCGACAGGGCTTGGTGCGCTTGGTGCGCTTGGTGCGCTTGGTGCGCTAGGTGCGCTAGGTGCGCTAGGTGCGCTAGGTGCGCTGGGTGAGGGGGCGCGGACGAGCCGGGGAGCGAGCCTGCGGGTGCGGTCGGTCGCCTGGCCGTCGGACCTCTGGTGCACGAGGGCTTGGACGAGCCAGCTGAGGGCGGACGCGGACGCGGAGACGGATACGGATACGGACGCGCGCGCCGCCGGGGCTCCGCTGGATCCGGAGGCCGGGGCCCAGGAGTAAGGA